TGTTTAAACATGAACCATGTGTGTTTTTGCATGTTAAATATCAATATATGTCATCAAATATTTGCTGCAGCACTGTAACCACAACAGATAGCTCACTATGACTAATAAAGCATTTAATGTTTCTCTAGCGTCATTTTGGATATTTGGAGAATGACACTGTTGAAGTACACCAAACGATATTTGCTGGGGTTTTTTCAATGTGTCACAGTTATTCAAGCAATAAGATTAATTACCAAAATATTTGTTCTGCTTTTTTTAAATAGGTGAAAGAATATTAACTTCTAATTTGTTCATGCTGCCTTTGTTAAAATCCATTCAAAACCAGCTATTATATATATTTTCACACACACACTTACTCACACACACACACACACACACACACACATATATATATATGAGCAAAATTTAAGCAAATGTACTACTTAAAAGGCCATTGTTGTCTCAGAAAAACATTAAAGACAGAATTAAGTTTTTGGCAGAATATAAGAAGTTGTGTGTGGAGGCACAAGAGCGGTGTCTTCGAAAATCTGGTGAGAAATATAGTAATAAATGCATCTTTAACACAGTAAAGCAGGTCATTGTGTGGGGAGTCTTTGTAGATACTGGTATTGGTGAGCAACTTCACTGTGAAAAGTAATTTAATGCTTTGGTCGGTCGTGAAGCCAGTGGTTAAGCGGTCTCATATATGAAGCCACGCGAGCGGCGTGACTGCCGCTGTGGATACCATATGCCCCAGGAGCCTCTGAAAGAGTTTCAGTGGAGCCACCATCTCGCCCTCGAATTGACTCAGGCAATTCAGCAGTGACTGAGCACGCTCGCTTGTAATCTGTGCGAACATGGCGACCGAGTCTATCTCCATACCGAGAAAAGAGATCCTCCGCACGGGGGACAGTTTGCTCTTTTCCCAGTTCACCCAAAGGCCCAGTCAGGAGAGGTGCTTGAGCACCAGGTCCCTGTGTTCGCACAACTGTTCCAGAGAATGAGCTAGAATCAGCCAGTCGTCGAGGTAGTTGAGAATACAAACACCCTGCTCCCTGAGTGGAGTAAGAGCTGCCTCCGCGACTTTCGTGAAGACGCGGGGAGACAGAGACAGCCTGAATGGGAGAACTGTGTACTGATATGCCTGCCCCTCGAAAGCAAAGCACAGAAATGGTCTGTGTCGAGGGAGAATGGAGACATGAAAGTACGCGTCCTTCTAGGATTGGTCGTAACCCACCGCTTTTCTCTGACTAAGAGCCAGCGACAGGGAATGAGGGGGACGAGAGTGGCGAGGCGTTGCATCGCCCACTGTCATCCGCACCCTCTTGGGACTGGGAGGTAGAGGAGTTCTTTCTTTAACAAATTGATCGTTGAGGAACCGGGCAGAAGAAAAAGAGAAGGAGAACAAATGATACTCCCCCAGCCCTCCTCCAGGGGAAGAAGTGATCCTGTTACCATCTCCTGAAGAACATAAGACTCTAGCTCCGGGTTGCCCGTCTCAGGATAGCCACTTTGCCTGCCACTTGGCAGGCTTAGCGGCAGAGACGGGCTGCACTGCCTTCCTGCGACCATCTCCACGCTGCGGCCTGGGTGGAGGCTGTTGCTGTGGCCGAGAGGGAGCTGAAGAGGCCGCAGGGGGCGTGTGGTATGGCAGAGGGGACTCTACCTCGTCTGAGGTCATTGTGTCTTGATTGCTGCATCGCGATGGTCATCCTCCCGCAATGGGTACATGACTCATCCACGAACGCAGCCTCAGCGTGTTGAAAGCCCAGGCACGTGAGACAGCGCACGTGACTGTCATACAGAGGCAGAAAACGACCGCACCCAGAAACACAAGGGCGAAGTGACATCTTTAAAAAGACGCACCAGTGCAGCTCTTTTAGAGAAATGTAACTCTTTCAGCAGTGCTAAAGTGCACAGGGGAGATCAAAACCACAGCGTGCAAGATCTATGCTGCAGCAGCAGGAAGCAGGAAACAAGCTCTTTTAGAGATCCCGCTGAACACGCCGTCACACCAACACTGAACTGAAGAGGCTTGACTCGTAGATTGAGACTCGATAAGTGATCGTAGAGCACAGTAACGCTCAGCTCCGAAGCGAAAGCTTGAATGCGAGAATGCACGCACTGCTCCCTATATACCCACACAGCGGGGCCGAGCTCGCGATGCAAATTCCGCAGACCAAGGTACTTTGCGTACCATTGGCTTGTTTTGTACCACTCGAAGGTGATTGGGCTCTCGGGAATATTGTTAAATAAATATATACTGTATATTTGGCCTCACATTTGTTGTGTATTAACATTTGTATTTGAATACTGTTAACTTTCACTTGAGTTGACTTTTGAGCTTGTTTGTTATTGGCTGTGAGAGGAACAGTGTTTGTGATTGGCTGTGAGAAAAAAACATATAAAAAGGAGCGCGCCTTCAAGTGTGCGCACAGTATACCAGAGCAATTTAAAGGCACACTATGTAGAAATTGTGTTTTTGTCAAACAGCGACCCCTATAGTCGCCGTGGAATACTTGCACTGTCGTAAATAGCTAGCTAGACATATATGGAAATTATTGGACAATGGATGAATGAACAGCATCGTAAAAAATAACATACTACAAGCAAGCGCAACAACATACAACATAGAACGCAAACAAGTTTAGAAATAAGAGATTTACTTACTAGTCCATCAACAAGATCGCCAGGTCAGCATCGCTGTTGCATCCAGTGCTGCTTTTTAGCTCGCGCCAACTAGTGAAAGCCCGACCAAGTGGGACTCTTGTCCGGTTCCTCACGCGGACAGATTCTCTTTTCCTTTTCCTAGTCTCTTCCGACCGCGTTTTCTTAGCTTTTTCCATCGTCGAGTATCGCGTCTGAAATGCGCGCAAGTGTCTTCGTGCTTCATATGTTGTTGTTGATGTGTGTGACATCGTTGCCGTAAAGCAAGTCATGATTCTCGTGAGATTTGTCGGGGGCACTCCTCTCAAACTTGCATTGCTGGTTTTTACAGCGGCGTCCCCCCCAAGCTTTACTACCAGGATGATTCGCCCTACTATGAGTTTGTTTACCACCGAAATGACTTTGAAGCTGTTATATTAAGGTACAATTCTTGCATAGTGTGCCTTTAAGTTGAATTGAATGAGTTCAAACCGACAAATCTTTTTGTTTAATCAGCAAATAAAAGCCATTAATCCAAGACTATCCGTCATCGTATTTGTATTGCTAGTAAATACATGACAACATTAAACTCAAACGAACTTTTCAACTATACTCATGAACTGTTTTGAAGACATTAACATTGAAAATTCCTGTAAAAAGCTGTCTGCAAGTTAGGGAAGGCTATTCCGTGCTAAATTACTTTATCTACAGTATTTGTGCAATTCTTGCTAATTTCCTGACTAGTGATTTGTAATTACAATGGATAATACCATTTTTGGCTTGGCCAGGTGTGTGTGTGTGTGTGTGTGTTCAGGTTTATATTACATTGTGGGTTTACTATCCCCACAAGGATAGTAAAACCTGAGATCACCCACCTCGTGAGGACCAGCCAGCGGTCCCCACGAGGGAAATGAATTAATAAACAAACTAAATTATGTTTTTTTGAAAATCTAAAAATGCAGAAAGTTTTCTGTGATAGGTTTAGAGGTAGGGTTGGGGTTTGCAATATACCATTTGTACAGTATAATAATCATTATGTCTTATGGAAAGTCCCCATAAAACATGGAAACTAACTGACAGTAGCCTACCTGTGAAAAATTTACTAATTTACTACGCTTATAGCGCCCTCTTGAGGCAATACCACCTTAAGAAATGTTAAGACGGAACAACAATTGATTTACATTTCATGCTGGTGTGCAAAATGTGCATTTTACATGCTAAATACTAAGAAAAAAGCCCATGTTAGACCAATAGAATTCCCCAAAATGTAAATTTAACAATATTGATTTCCCAGCATGCACTGCATCATTCAAAATTGAGCAGTTACTGTTATGGGATTATTGTTTCTCTGTTTTCTGTTGTTTTGTCATTATTGTTAGTTAGGCCTATTGTTGTTTTATGAAGTCAAGAGCTCATCTTTTTACATTTGTTTATTGTACTTGCATTTTGTATGTCAGGTGTTGATGAGGTCTATGAAACAACCTTTTAATATTTTTGCTATTTATAACTATGAAAATATATGCCTTTAGGCTATAGCTCAATTTGTGTTATTTAATTTTTTTAACATGATGTCTGTTGTTGCCATGATGAATTTATAGCCTGCATTAGACATTTTGCTTGTAATGAACTCAAATTGACAAATAGGCTGCTTGGGATATTTTTAAGACAATAGTTGAGAGAACCTAAAAATCTGAATGCATTGGGTTATGCAGAATTTGTAGGTTTTTTTTCAGCGATTCCTTTATACAGCATGGTAAACTACATATAGTACGTCATTTGAAATGTTTTGCATGGTGATACTGCATGGTAAACTTTTTTTTGGATTTCTTCTTGGGGAATTGGGGAGAATTTCATATTCAGTTCTGTTATAGTGGCCCAATTGAAGACTGATATCCAAACCTTGCTCTTTTTGATAATTTTTCCACCCTCACTTAGGCTAACAGCCATCATAACTGAGTGATGCAAAATAATCTTGCTTTGAATATGAAATCAATTTAAAAACTGAAGAGGGCGAACAACTCATGTATTAAAATGGTGTAGGGCTATGGTGTCAGCGAATGTTGTATGTTTGGTTATTCCTCTTATAGGCTATAGTAGTCTATTGTTCGTGCAGTTTTATTTAATAGCCTACCTGATTTGACAACACAGCACTAGACACCAGTCAGTCTAAAACGTGACATTTGAAGAAGACTTTCTCTCCCAGTGTTCTAAAATTAATCAAGACCTAGGCCTACTTAATTCAACTTAGCCTATGTTACGCGAACGCTTTGTCAGCTTTTAAATGCCTGCTGTATGATACAGTATGCTACATGTAAGTAGGCGGCTCTGAAACATGACGTTTCAGCAGAGGGAGTGGAGGCATTTTAGTGACGTCGCATGTACCGGCTGTTTGACTCGGAAACAGCCATACAGCGTGTAAAGAAGAAATGACCGACAGTGACCTCGAATAAGATGTTGAAGACCTATCTATTGTCTCCATCTCTTTACAACACATCAGCATTTATGTAGAATTCCGATAAAACTGCAGCCTACATTTTGAAGCGCCTTCGAAACGTCGAGTCGCTATACGCATCTGTCTTCCGAGCGTTTACATTTTCTACGTAAATAATGGAAAATGCTGAAACATCCGATCAAAACGGAACGACGCACTACACGAACGGTTCAGTGAACGGATTTCACACCCCGCAGTCCGGTAACGGGGACTGTATTTCGTCTAGCGGAGGTGGTCTAGGTGCTAGTGACAGTAGCGGTGGCCATAATGGTATTGAAAATTTCCACCATCTTCATCAGGATGTACACAACAATGGTTCGCCTGCGAAGCGCTGCAGACTCAGAAGACGCGTGGATTCGGGAAAGAAGAACAGACCACGTAAGTCAGATTTTTCACGTTCATAATAAATTGTAACTTAAAAACCGAACATTGACATTTAACACACCATAGACATACAGCTAAATAAATATTTTGATGTATGGTTTATTTATTTTTATTTTAAAATCTATAATTTAAGCAACTAAAAACGATTCCAGGGCATAAAACTTGAATTTTCAATTTAATTTAATTGACGCATTAATTTTTCCTATCTTCATGATAAATAAAGGTTATCTTACTGTAGCCTACGTTAAAATGTTAAATGTATTTTCTAACTGTTTGACTAGTGTTTGTAATGATGAATCAGAATTTTTCGCGTTACGTTTTTATTCATATTTGTATCAAGATCCTGAAAATGAGAGCCTGTTCAGTGTAATGAAGTCCCGGAAGTAATGAACCAATTTTATTGTTTTCTTCGCAATTAAAAAAACAACAACAAAAGAGGATCGTTTAAAAGAGAAATAGCTTAAACTGTATACACATTTCAAATTTGCCTGTATTAAGAGCTTTATGTGTTTCTGAAAGACCGGGTTATTTAGTGTTGTGAAATCAATGTGATGTTTGCTGGTAGGATTTCATTGGCCAGATCAGAAACAGGGGGTGTGGCTAAAACACGCCAGATATGAAAGGCATGCTTGATCAGCCAATGAGAGGGAAGTATCACACAAAGGGGTGGGGAAATCGCTCCGTATGATCTTGCAGACTTTACAGTTCTTGTAAAATGAACATAAAAAGGCAATAGCACACCTGCCAGCTGACATGAACACATTTATTCTTCTGACAGCTGCATTTGAATGATATATTCATATATTGATTAGATCGTTGCGCGCTTCATTGCTGTCTGCATAATCCTGTCTGTCTCACCTGAAAGTATGAAACTAATTGTGAAAAAGCAAGGTAAGGTCTTGCATAATATTTAATCAATGAAATCAGTACACGACAGTAAAAACATTTTTAAAAATGTGTGCATCTTTTTGAAGTTTACTGTCAAACCTACTAATCAAGTAGTTGCAGTAACAGTAATGCATCCATAGCTAGTATAAGCTATAGAGTTATGCGTTGTTGATATTCAATATTGTTTTAAAATATGTTTACTGTAAACTGCTGTAACCTCACTTTTTGTGCACTATCTGCTGTAATGTCACTGTGTTCTTGGTGACTTTGGAGTACTTTGCTCTCTGAGACAAGGAGTACACACACCTTTCACCCACATATGTCTGCCAGCAACATTATCATCACTGATCTAAACACAGACTGCCTTCACTAATCAATGACATAAGAAACTGCTTTCTCTCAAACAATAGAAAAAAACATTTCACTGATTCACTAAGGTTACTAAAAGAAATACTGTGGTTATATAAGCAAGGTAAGTCTAAACAGTTTTTTTTTTTTAAGATATACTTTTATGCTGGAAAGATTGTGTGAGATGTGTAACTTTTATTTTAAAGACAGGATGTTTCTCTGAATAGCTAGGCAATCTCTTTGAAACTGCTGTTACTATGGCAACAAAAGGCCCCACAAGCCACAGTGTGAATGGACCAAAAATACTCTCTTTTTTCCCTCTGCCAAAGTAGTCATAGTAATTTGCAATCAGACAGTATCATTAATATACTTATTAAACTAAAATCGTAAAAACATTGAAAAATTTATTCAAGTATTGTCAATATTCCAACATCACTTTTTTGAGTCCCATTTCACACCAATTGATACCACACAGAAATATTCAGGTTATGCTGTTTGGAAAGAATATTGAAATTTCCCTTTCTAAAACTTGTTTTTGTTTCAGCCTTTCCATGGTTTGGGATGGATATAGGAGGCACCCTGGTAAAGCTGGTTTACTTTGAGCCCAAGGACATCGCTGCTGAAGAAGAACAAGAGGAAGTGGAGAGCCTGAAAAGCATCCGCCGCTACCTGACCTCCAACGTGGCCTATGGAAACACGGGTATCCGTGATGTTCACCTGGAGTTGAAGAACCTCACCATGTGTGGCCGCAAAGGCAACCTGCACTTCATTCGGTTCCCCACTCAAGACATGCACCGCTTCATCCAAATGGGCCAAGACAAGAACTTCTCCAGCCTGCACACCACGCTGTGCGCCACGGGTGGGGGCGCATACAAGTTTGAGGAAGACTTCAGAACGGTACATGATCCACAGAGGAATGGCAACATAATAATGGATTTTATAATATTTGCAAAAGATTGAATGCGAAAAATATGTTGATCCGTGCCAGGCTAGTGTTTTGTTGACAATGACTGGTTATTTTGCTGCCACTTATCCTATTACTGTTATCAGGACAAGAAATTGCTAATCGGATACGCCCTTTCCCATTTATGATTGAGTATTTATTTGTTCCCACAGGTGGCTAGTTTGGAGCTGCAGAAGCTGGATGAACTGGACTGTCTTATTCATGGTCTGCTGTATGTTGACTCAGTCGGGTTCAATGGTCATCCAGAGTGTTATTTTTTCCAAAATCCCTCTGACCCTGAAAACTGTGTCAAGAGGCCATTTAGCCTGGAGAACCCCTTCCCTATGTTGCTGGTAAACATTGGCTCGGGGGTTAGCATCCTGGCCGTCTACTCCAAGGATGATTACAAGCGGGTCACGGGCACTAGGTGAATTCCTGCATCATCTTTTTCTTGTAGCTAAGCAAACATGTTAATTTCAGGTTTATGTCACTTGTCCTTGCTTGTATACGTGACTTGCATACGTAAGAAAAGAAGATCTGGCTACTACAGCGGCAGATATTTTACTTCCTGACTTGATGACATTTTTATCAGATATGTTATTTCAGATCCATAGATAAACCTCAAACCATCATATTTCTTCCCACAGAAGTGCATTGGCAAAGTACGGAGAATTTTTCTTTACTTGTTAATTAGTTTTGTCATTTTAGTTAAAGGGTTATTCACCTAAAATAATCACCTTCATGTCGTTCCAAACCCTTAAGACTTTCATTCATCTACTGAACACAAATGAAGATATTTTAAATGAAATCTGAGAGATCTCTGTCCCTCCAATGACAGCTACGCGACTACCACATTGATGCTTTAAAAAGTTCATTAAGAGATCGTAAAACTAATCCACATGAATTGAGTGGTTTAGTCCAAATTTTCTGAAGAGACACGATCACTTTGATGTGATCATGATCACTTTGACGATCACATATCACAAATATGATAAAACTGATTGAATTTAGGCTTTTATTCATATATAAACATTGATCGGCGAACATAAACAGAAGCTCAACCGTACTTGCATGACGTGCAGGAACAAACTTCATTGGTTCTTGTGGAAACACAAACGTGCTGCGTAACACACGAGAATGAACCTCAAGATGAACGAAAGTCTTACGGGTTTGGAAAGACATGAGGGCGAGTAAATGTTAATGTCATTTTCAGTTTTGGGTGAAATATCCCTTTAAATCATGGCAATGTTGTACAATTTTTTTTCAATATTTTATTTAAATCGTGTTAACGATTTAACTAAAACAAAAGAAAGAATTTAGAAATCGCAGACATGAACTAATAAGTTGTGGGAACAAATTCTAAATTCATGGCCACAGTATCAAATCAACAACAACATAAACAAAACTTCCAATTTTATGTTTTAAGCACAGATGGCGATAAAGAGGCTAAAGTTCCATAGTGCATCTTTTTTTATTATTATTATTATTATTATTATTTTTTACAAATGTCTTTAATGTCACTTTTTTTTTTTTTTTTTTTTTTTTTTAAACAATCAGCAACAAACATTCACACATCAACACACCCAACAACACAGCATACATACAGACATTGTGCTTTTACATTGTGTACATATAAAGAAAAACAAAGTAAAAAAGAAAGAAAAACATCAGTAAATCATAAGCAAAACCTGACACCGACATCATTTCTTCCACTTACAGTTATAATTGGTTTTGAAGATCATTTATGAAAGGACGCTACATGACAATCCATAGTGCAGCTTTAAAGGAATAGTTCACTTAAAAATGTAAATTCTGTCATCATTTACTCAACCTCAAGTTGTTTCAAACCTCTATGAATTTCTTTCTTCTGCTGAAGACAAAGGAAGATATTTTGAGGAATGTCTGTAACCAGACAATTGATGGACCCCATTGACTTCCAAAGTAGGAAAAAATACCATGGATGTCAATGGGGTCTATCAACTGTTTGGTTACCAACATTCAAAATATCTTTGTGTTCAGCAGAAGAAAGAAATGCATACAGGTTTGAAACAACTTGAGGGTGAGTAAATGATGACAGAATTTAAATTTTTAAGTGAACTATTCCTTTAACTGTAAAGTAAAAATTATGAATGAAAAATAAATAGTTAATTTTAAAATGATAAATGATGATTTTGTTGTTGTGGATGTTATTTTGTAATAAAAAAATTGGTGTAAAAACAAGATCTCTAATGAACCTTCAACCTACTTAAAGCAATGCAACAGTCTTTAAATACTCTGACATTCATTTGCTTCATTGGATGTGATTCAGTTTAGGAGGTGGTACGTTTCTAGGCCTGTGTTGCTTGCTGACCGGCTGTGATACATTTGAGGAGGCCTTAGAGATGGCAGCTAAAGGGGACAGCACAAATGTGGACAAACTTGTGAAGGACATTTACGGTGGCGATTATGAACGCTTCGGTCTCCAGGGTTCCGCCGTTGCATCCAGGTACAGACAGATTTGCCAGCATTCATATGTAAAAATAATCATATTTGTGATTAAAAAAATATTTACACTTTTTTTTTTTCTTTAATTTGTTAGTTTTGGTCATATGATGAGCAAGGAAAAACGTGATAGTATAAGTAAAGAGGACCTGGCCAGGGCCACTCTTGTCACCATCACAAACAACATTGGCTCCATTGCCCGCATGTGTGCAGTGAACGAGGTTTGAAAACATTTTTTCTTAATGCAAAAGCTCACTTATCATGTTTAAGAACTGTTTCTATCCATAGTTCCAGGCTCCCAGCCACATTGATTGATTTTGTTTTATTAAAAATGCAATTCAATGGGCATTACCCCATGATACAAACAATATCAAGACCAAGTCTGTGGTTCTAAAGATGGGCCTGAACTCTGTGTGCTCTGAGCTTCTTTACAGTGTTGTCTTGTGGCATGGAGATCAAGCAGCATTGTACAGGGCTATCACAGCACACGGAACAGCCACAAGATGGATACACTTTTTTTTCGCTCTAAAATACTCTGGTGTAAAAGTCAACATGTGTAATGTGGATATTTCCTGTTTTCTCTTCATAAAATTCAAATTTGGAACAGTATTACTGTTTATTCTGACTGTCTGTATTTGTGTTTTATATCCTCCAGAATATCGATAAAGTGGTTTTTGTTGGGAATTTCCTTCGGATCAACACTGTATCAACTAAGCTGCTAGCTTATGCCATGGACTTCTGGTCTAACGGTCAACTGAAAGCCCTTTTCTTAGAACATGAAGTAAGACTCTTTTTTTTTTTAAATCATTTTAATTCCCTGTCAATGCTAAAATTAGTTTAATTAATAAAGACTTACCGTAACATTCTCCATAGTGTTCAATCAATGTATCAGCCAAGCCAGTATATGGCATTTTATAACTCTTGGAATCAGCCAATAAGCACACACATATTATTAACAATTATTTATAGTGGAGACATTAAAGATTATAAATTAAAATTAGGTGCTTTGAAACACCCCACGAAATCAGAATTTGAGTTTTGTGGCTTTTAGTTAATTTTCATACACATTTAAAATTTGAAGTCTTTAAAGACCGGACAAAAATATTGAAATACAAAAATTCGGTGAATATTCCGTAAAAGTCAGAAATGTAATTTTGCTGATGTAACTTCTCTTTGAGTCACAACTCCTCACTTAGAAGTTAATTTCAATGTATTTACTCCAACATCTTTAATAGACATGTAGGCAGATTCATTGATTATAACAAGATGTTCTAGTTTTTTACATTGTACATTTCAGTCCTGTCCAGTCCTGTTATTCAGATATAGGTACAGGTGAAGAAAATGAGACCAGAAAAGATGGTAAATAACAGTGAAATGTGTTTCTGAAGATGAATGTGAGTATTTTAATATTAGGGATTAAGATGAAAATGAGCACCTTTTGCATTAGGATTTATAAAATAAAAAACAACAACAGATGAGTAGCCGTCATAAGTTATATATAGGTATATATGTGGTTGACAGTCTTCAATCCTGACTAACAGTGTTAAGGTTTACATTATTTTCAATAGTCAATCAATATAAATTGATGAAAATTTTCAGATCAATACTTAAATTACGTCACACCAAAGGACTGCATAATGGATCCCATTTCCAGCAGTGCACAGAAATAGCAATGTTATCAAAATATTTGTGACAGAACTCACCTTGTGTGCAGTCCATGTGCTCCAGTGAGGTCTACTGTACTTCCTGGATGAAGAAGAGCCCCTCTCAGTAATAGGGTGCCCAAATGAATGCCCGTTTTATATCTACAGAATGGCGTCACACCAGGTGGACACCAGTTTTGCGGACAAAATGTAATGTGTCATAATTATTTTAAATGGGGACCTTAAGACTTATAACCTTTAGTTTCATTAAGTTAACACTACTATAATATCTATTCAAGTATTTTAATGTATTTAGACTTATTTTTCATTTAATTAAAGTAGTTTTAAGATAAGGAACGCTACCCCGGACAGTCACGCCAGTGGACAAATGGCATGTTTAAAACAAAATATTTACATATTTGAATTATAATGCTCATTAATTACAGATGTATTAGTTCTGGAAGATTAAACTGTATATAAAAACAGATATTTTAATGAAATATTATACATTTGTATTTACGTTTGTCAATATGAACACAAAAATGGAGCATCACGTCAACCACCCATATAATAAAGGTTAATTTGAATATATGAACTAACCTGTCTTTCCCAACCTGCAATAGTCTGTGCTTGTCACAGCATGACTGCTTTGCTGATTAACGGGGCTACTAGCTCCCCCTTGTGTCCAAAAGATCCAAAATCTACCCACACTCCTGTCAATGGATAATTTGGATTTCTGCTGTCAAATATTGTGCACTTTGAGAAAATATGATGTAAAATAACCCATTTAGGTTTAGCTATGTTGTGTACGTCTCATAAGATATTATTAAATTCTATATTTTATATACACTATCATTTAAATGTATATTTAGAATGTTTTTAATATTTTCTCTTATGCCAACAAAGGCTGCACTTATTTGATTAAAAGTACAGTAAAACTGTAATATTGTGAAATGTTATTACAAAAAAAAAAATAGACACATTTTAAGTTGTAATTTATTATTGTGGTGGCAAACCTGAATTGTCTCACACGATCCTTCAGAAAAACGTCCTCGGGTTTCCTTCGGGAAAAACGTCCAACGAGAACTGCGTCGAATGACACTTTGGGGGAACGCCCCTCAGCGTAGCGTCTCTGAAGTATGAATGAAACTAAGCCAATCTCCGATTGGTGTTGCGTCATGACGTAATGTGTGACGACACATAGGCGGAAGCTATATAAGGAACCGGCACACACATGATGTCAGCTTCTGTGATGAAGCAAGCGCTCCCAGGCAGGGGAAGGCGTGGCCAAGGGACGCAGTTCTCGTTCCCTTCTCAGGGAACAAGGGTTACAGTCGTAACCCGAGGACGTTCCCTTTCGAGGGAACTCCAACTGCGTCGAATGACACTTTGGGGGAACGAGTACCCACTACGCCACAACGCGCCCTGCCTGCCCTAGTGTGAAGCTGCTCACAGGCACACTTAGGACGAGAGCACCAGAGAGCCGGGTGTAGACGGAATGTCCAGACTGTAAAACCTAAAAAAGGTATGAGGGGTAGCCCATCCTGCTGCATCGCAGACCTCCTGGATGGGGGCCCCCGCGAGAAGGGCTCTAGAGGACGCCATGCCTCTGGTAGAATGAGCCCTCACGGCCAAAGGTGAAGGCATTCCGCGCACCTGGTAGGCCGTGGATATCGCATGGACAATCCAGTTGCTGATGGTCTGTTTTGAAGCGGGAAGCCCCTTCCTGGGCGACCCGAAACACACCAGCAACTGGTCCGACTTCCGCCATGAAGAGGACCTCTGAATGTAAATACTCAATGCTCTGACAGGGCAGAGCATGTGAAGTATCTCTTCATCCGCCGTCACGTGAGGTGGAGGATGAAAAGCCTGCAGAACCGTAGGCCGTGCCGCACTGGACGGCACCTTAGGCAAATAGCCGGGCCTAGGGTGAAGAATGGCCTTAATGTTGCCTGGAGCAAACTCCAGGCACCCGTTAGATATGGAGAGCGCCTGGAGATCTCCTACCCTCCTCAGAGAAGTAATGGCCAACAGAAAAGCCACCTTCAGCGACAGGTTCTTGGCCTCAGCCAACTCCAGCGGTTCCAAGGGGGCCTCAGCTAGCCCTTCAAGAACCACTGCCAGGTCCCATGTGGGAACACTGGTACGAGCCGCAGGTCTCATCCTCCATGCCCCACGGAGGAAACGTACGACCAACTGGTGTCTCCCCAGAGGCCCATCACTCAGAGGAGCGTGGAAAGCCGCAATGGCAGCCACGTATACCTTGAGTGTGGACGGGGTAAGACCAGTGGAGAAGCGATCTTGGAGGAACTCCAGCACTGAAGCCACTGGGCAGTTAACTGGGTCCACCTCACGCTCCCTACACCAAACGGTGAAGACGTTCCACTTTAAGCCGTACAATTTCCTCGTGGAGGGAGCTCTAGAGCTGAGTATGGTCTCCACTACTCCAGCTGATAGGCCGGCCTCTAGGTACTGTGCCCCCTCAGGGGCCAGACCCACAGTTTCCATAACTCGGGCCGAGGGTGAAATATTGAGCCCTCTGCCTGTGTCAGCAGGTCCCTCCTGAGGGGAATCTCCCAAGGAGGGCCGTCCAGGAGCAAAATTATGTCGGAGAACCATACTCGGGCCGGCCACAACGGGGCTACCAACAGTAGACTAATCCCGTCGCGACGGACTCTCTCTAGAACTCCCGGGAGCAGAGCGATCGGGGGAAATGCGTACAGACGTAGCCTCGGCCACGTCTGCACCATGCAATCCAACCCCAGCGGGGCTGGATGGGTGAGGGAAAACCACAGTGGACAGTGGGTCGTCTCTCGAGACGCGAACAGGTCCACTTCCACCGGGCCGAACCTCTGAGATATTGACTCCACGGGGTGGAGTCTCCATTCCCCGGGCCTCAGCCCCTGTCTCGACAGGATGTCTGCTCCCTGATTTTGACTCCCCGGGATGTATGTTGCTCTTAGAGACAACAGTTTTCCCTGGGACCACAGGAGGATCTGATGCGCCAGTCTGCATAGAGGGCGAGACCTCAGACCCCCCTGATGGTTTATATAGGCCACTACCGACATGTTGCCTGACCTCACAAGGACATGATAACCTTTGAGGTCCGGCAGGAAGCTCCTCAGAGCTCGGAACACCGCCAACATCTTCAGGCAGTTTATGTGCCAGGAGGCATGATGGTCCTGCCATAGGCCTGTCATAAAGCGGTCGTCCATGACCGCGCCCCAGCCCGTGAGGGAGGCGTCTGTCGAAACGGTTCTCCGGCGACATGACGCTCCCAACACTGGACCTTGGGACAGAAACCAAGCTTTCTTCCACATAGATAGGGAACGAAGGCATCTGTGCGTAACCCTGATCATGCGGAACGGGTTTCCCCTCGGGGAGAATCCCTTGGTTTTTAACCACCACTGAAGGGCCCTCATGTGCAGCAGGCCGAATGGAATGATATTGGACGCTGCTGCCATGAGCCCCAACACTCTCTGGAAGTGCTTTACGGTGATGGCTTGGCCTAGCTTTATCCCGGACACTGTGGTCAGGATGGACTCGATCCGTGCAGGAGACAATTGTGCCCGCATCGTGACCGAGTCCCACACCACTCCCAGAAACGTAGTTCTCTGGGCTGGTGTCAACACGCTCCTTTTCGTGTTGAGTCTCAACCCCAGGCTTTGGATGTGGGCGAGGACGACATCTCGATGCCGAACCGCCAGCTCTTGTGACTGTGCTAAAATCAGCCAGTCGTCGATATAATTGAGCACCCTGATGCCCTGAAGCCTCAGCGGTGCCAGAGCTGCATCCATACATTTGGTAAATGTGCGAGGGGAGAGAGCTAGGCCGAACGGAAGAACCCGATATTGGTACGCTCCGCCCCTGAAAGCGAACCTCAGGAACTTCCTGTGAGATGGAAGGATGGATACGTGGAAGTATGCGTCCTTTAGATCTATCGTGACAAACCAATCCTCGGATTGAATTTGACTCACGATAATGGGAATAGTGAGCATCTTGAACCTGAATCTCCTCAGAGAACGGTTCAGGTGCCTGAGATCTATTATTGGACGCAACCCCCCATCCTTCTTGGGAACTATGAAGTAGCGGCTGTAAATCCCGGACTCCCTGTCTGGCGGAGGAATACGTTCTATAGCCTCCTTTACCAGCAGGGAGTTTACTTCTTGTTCCAATACCCGACCCTGCTTTGGGTCAACTACAGTCCAGACCACCCCGTTGAACTTTGGTGGGTGGAAACTGAACTGTAGTCTGTACCCCAAGGGAACCAGCCTCTCGACACTGGCTTCGGGTATCGTTCGAGATTCGTTCTTGATCCCCTGAAGCGGCTCTCCGGCAGGGTTTGGTCGAAACGATTCTCGATGTGCGGACGCAAGTGCTGCCTGGCCGCAAGCCTGTGGGGCAGACAGAGCAGCGTGCGTTCGCTGGAAACCGATGTGTCCCGAAGCGCACTTACGGCGGGATACAGACAACGATTTCCTGAGGGCTCCCCAGATGGGAGGCTCTTTCGGTTTCGTTCTCGACACCCTGAAGCGGAAGACCGGCAGGGAATAATCGAAAACAGTTTCCGATGTGCGGATGCGCACACTGCCTGGCCGCAAGCCCTTGTGGCGGACAGTGCAGCCTGCATTCGCTGGAAATCGATGCGTCCCGAAACGTGTTTAACGGCGGGAGAGCAACATCGATTTCCTGCCTTGAGGAGGGGCTCTAGAAGCGGTACTCTTTCACCAAAAAATACTGTTTTAATATTATTACAGTCTCGTAATCTACACGCTGCCTCGGCAAACACGAGAATCGAGCCGTAACAATATATTTGGCTTTCATCCCTCGAGAAGAAAGTCAACAGGTGTGAGGCTGAAACATCCGACAGCGCATGGTTTATTTTGTAGGCCTACGCGTCGAGATATTTCTCAATGAACACTGTCTGCCAGCACCCTCAGGAGCTGACTGTGAATGCCTCGCACAAAACAGTATTATTTCCCATGATTGTGTGTCCCTATTGTAGACTCGTAATCTACGCGCTGCCTCGGCAATGGCGAGATTCGAGTCATTCACAATATATTTGGCTTTCATCTCTCGAAAAGAAAGTCAATGGGCGCGAGGCTGAAACACCCGAACACACGGCTGTGTGTGCGTCGAGATATTTCTCAATGAACACAGCCAGCGCCCTCAGGAGCTGACTGTGTATGCCTCGCACGTTGCACCCACACAGAATCTTTATTGCAGAGTAGACCGAATCTACGCGCTGCCTCGACAACGCGAGATCCGAGTCACTTTAGATTCTTTATTGCAATGCAGACCTCAAATCTACGCGCTGCCTTGGCAAACGCGAGATCCCAGTCACAGAATCTTTATTGCAGAGTAGACCGAATCTACGCGCTGCCTCAACAAACGCGAGATCCGTCACTAGATTCTTTATTGCAATGCAGACCTTAAATCTACGCGCTGCCTCGGCAAACGCGCGATCCCAGTCACAGAATCTAATTGCAAAGTAGACTCGTAATCTACACGCTGCCTCGGCAAACGCGAGATCCGAGCCACTATAGATTCTGTATTGCAATGCAGACCTTAAATCTACGCGCTGCCTCGGCAAACGCGCGATCCCAGTCACAGAATCTTTATTGCAAAAGTAGACCCGTCTACACGCTGCTTTGGCAAACGCGAGATCCGAGCCACTAGATTCTGAATTGCAATGCAGACCTTTAATCTACGCGCTGCCTCGGCAAACGCTAGATCCCAGTCACAGAATCTTTATTGCTGAGTAGACCCGTAATCTACACGCTGCCTCGGCAAACGCGAGATCCGAGCCACTAGATTCCATATTGCAATAATTTAGGACAATTCTTTTGGGACAAACAACACCAAATAGGACAGACAGTTTGACACAGAGCGCTTGCTGAAGAACAAAAAGCTGACATCATGTGTGTGCCGGTTCCTTATATAGCTTCCGCCTATGTGTCGTCACACATTACGTCATGACGCATCACCAATCGGAGATTGGCTTAGTTTCATTCATACTTCAGAGACGCTACGCTGAGGGGCGTTCCCCCAAAGTGTCATTCGACGCAGTTGGAGTTCCCTCGAAAGGGAACTTGCTAATTTGGTGCTCAAAAAGCTTTTCTTATCAATGTTGATTTTTATTTTTGTAGAAACCATGATACCTTTATTCAGGAATATTTCATAAAAAAAGAGAAGTATTGATGTCATATAGAAATCTTTATTCACATTATATAAATGTCTTCACTGTCACTTTTCATCAATTCAATGTATCCTTGCTGAAATAAACTTTTAATTTCTTTCCAAACAAAATTACTTTCCCCAAATGTTTGAATGTACTTTATATACAGTATGTCAAAATATCAGCCATCAATTGATCACAGGCCTTAACAGATGCCACATCATATGAAATGAGCATATATGGAAATATAATAGAATGCTCTGCTTCTGTTCCACAGGGATATTTTGGAGCTGTTGGTGCCTTCCTAGAGCTACTGAAGATGACTGAAGACTCCTGAGACACTGAAGAAACCCCAACCTTCAAACCAGAAGCTGCTGTAAGATTTCAGGAAAGCCACATCCCCTAATAAGAAAAAGCCATTTAATAATATGATTGAGTTTCCCTTCAAATCATCGACACATTGGCCTGTTGGCCTGACACGTTGGCTGGTGACAGAAGCAGGTGACCAAGAGGAAATGATGCACAACGAAAAACGCACTTTCAGTGTGTGAAATCACTTAATGTTAAGTGTGCCTCATTTCCGCTTCTATAAATCCAGCACAGCTTTGGCTTTGCCATGTATTGATATTTTGATTGGATGATGATTTAGGACACTAAATATAATGCCTGTATACTCCCTCTACACCCAGTTTGTGAGCTTTATGAAAATAATTGTAACGTATGAAAAGGGTTTGGAGGTGAGTGTTATGTTTATTAGTGGGACATTATAAAAAACAACCTTCCCCTCTAAACAAATCATGCTTTGAACTGCAAATCAGATTTATCATTAATTGACTGTCCTTAAGAGTAATTTACATGGGACTTTTCTCCCCCTGTTTTAGTCACATATGAGCATTCATCATATCTGTATTACATTAAAATGCTAAGTTGTATTATTAACCGTAGAATCATTTTGGACACTAAAGCGTGAGTCCAAGTTAAAAATTCTAACATCTTTTTAATACAGTCAGCAAATGACAATTGAATTTCAGTACTTTTTCAATTACTTACAGAATTAGCAAAAAATCGTCAGGTAGACCTGTTTTATCTTCATTGGGCCTTGTACGATTAGTGGATTGTTGACATGAGTAGCTGTAGTTTCTAAGATATCTTTACCTCCTTTTAACTGGTCTGTCTAATGAACAGTGGACATATGCACCTGAGCTGACACTGATTGTGTTGGGACCAAATTGTCAATATTGACTGGAAAACTCAGTATCTTCATCAGATGGAGAATTCTCATAGTTCACTACATAGTAAGTCCTTTCTTACCGTGATGAATTTTATTTGGTTTTACAGTCCCTAATGCCAATATTTCTCCGATCTGAATGTGTTAACAGTTTACCCTGTGTATATACACTGTAGTATATGTTTTGTTTTGTTTTTTTATTTAATTTAACATTTGCACAAACCATCTCTTGTCATATTCATGCCATTATGCAAGTTTCATTAGAGACTGCTAACCAAGACTTATATTTACTGTCAAACCTCCTCGCAAATGCCTTCATCCTTTAAACATTTTCAGCCTAAACGTTGTCTATTAATGAAAATATTTTGCCTTTTTTTCCTCATGTATCAACATGAGCATCTCTAACTTTATGCCTAAACACCTTTTAACTCTCTGTATTAATACTGTACTGCTGGGTCTGACTGTGAACTGTAAAGATTGTTGTTCAGAACCAGATGTATGTTAAATACATGCTCCTAAAGCTGGAATCATAAATTCCAAAATAGTTATTGCAGTCATTATAATCTGTCTAAATATGTATGATCAGAAACATAAGCACTTCCAAGAGAAAAAGATATTGTCTTTCCCTCACTTTGAGCCACAGTATGACAGCAATTATTTTTCTACCAATTGCATTTTCTCATTTGGCTTCAGCAGTGTAAATATGTAGTCAAGACATTAAATCCTTTATTTTTTACAGCACTGATAAAATAAGCAGTTTTCGAGCTTGTAATTTGCTGTTTTTTTTGCTGATCACCATGAATGCAAGCAAGACCAAAACTTCTTAGAGGAAGTAAAATGTACATTAAGAATAATTTCATAATGCATTTTTTATTGGAGGATTGACTGTAAAAAATATTCACCTATTGTGCATGTACTGAATCTACTACATGTTCAACAACAGACCTGTGCTGACATTAAAGTGTCTTCTATCTGCTTGTGACAACATCTGTAGCACATTACGTGCACTGCCTCTATATCTTTTCCTTCTATCTGTTGATTCATGCTTTACTTCCTCTGCTCAGTCCTTAGAATTGCCTTATGCAGTGGGGTGCCATTTTTTCTTTGGATGTCTGGATTATGCACAATGGCACCCCAACATCTCTCTGAGCCACAAAAGTAACTTCCAAGTGTTGTGGGGTGCCTTTTACTGATGGAGACAAGGCTTTATCTCTGTATCATCGCAAATGCTAAATCCAGATATCACTGTATACATCAATCCTTAACAGTATATTTGAGGTGTTTTGAATTTCTTGAGGGTGGAGGGAGGAGGGAGGAGGGTGGGGGGATTGAATGCATGTGTCGGTACATTGTATTTTTACTTGGGTAATACAAAGCATGTAAGCGATTTCTCAACATGGGTGACATTTCATTAGGCACTTGGATGGATCGCTCCATCTAATGTAGTCAAATTGTCTTTTTATCAGGTTTTGTTCTTGTAAACCAGATCTAATGTCAATGCATGTTCATTCCTTGCGCTATATGTTAAATTGTACAAAACGTTTCTGCCCTTTCATAAATATATTCTGTATCTTCCAAACTATACATGTTCGATGCCCAGTTTTCAGAAAGCATGTTCTAAATTGTAAATGCTGAGTCGCCATTACAGCTGAATTATAAGCTTTTTCTAGAGCTAAATTGTGTATTTATAAATCGTATAATTTTAGATAATTAGATGTTAATATTTCATGCTAATAATAACCCTCATCAATGACCTCAATCTCCTGACAAACTTGTCTGATGTATGTGATCTGAATGAGTGTTTAATTATATATTAAACATTATTTTAACTTCAGTTTCAGTGCACATATGAATCTCAAATAGAATCACTACACAAATTTTAAGTGTATTTCTTATGATATAACATTTGATGTTGATCGTATATGGACCCTTAATTTACTTGCTCCTCGTAAGGAATGAAATTCATGTCACTAAGAGATTTTTATATTGGTTTTGAGTTGTATCATGTGAAAACCTAACTTCATTTGTCAATAAACTATTTTGTAAATATCTAATAAATGTGTTAATTGTGGAAAATGGTTTGCTCTAATGGCTTTTCATTCATTTTCTTTCATTTAATCCAAATATCAACCCTTTACAGGATTACAGTATATTCACAAACATGCATCAGAATCAGCTTTATTGGCCAAGTATGCCTGAGCATACAAGGAATTTGTTGCCTGTTTAGAGCAAACCAACAGTGCTCATTTACACATACAGGCACGGCACAGCAGTGTTGGACTTAATGAGATATAAACTAATACAACATGATGGCAGATACTACATGACAGTCGAAGTGCAAACATCTAAGAACCGCGCATAAAGCAGTTCGGTACAGAGACTGCACACATTAACAGTGTACAACTCTATACAATGCAGGCAAGAACACAACAAAATGACAGAAACACAATACCCTGCAAACAAAACAATTAAATGACCAAGCATAGAAAGCAGTACACATGGCCTGTGACAAAGTGACATTATAGTGCAATGATTGTCCTGTTGGTTAAAAAAAAAAAAACATATGGCACAAAGTGAAAGAAATAAATGTACATTAGTCGTAAAATAAAATGTAAAAAGTCCAGTATATATTGAGGTTATGGGAGGGTGTTTGGGATCTTTGTGGCTGCCAGGAAAAAGCTATTTTGGTGTCTGGTAGTCCTTGTTTTAATCAGTTATATCGCCTGCCAAAGGGAAGGAGTCTGAACAGGCTGCACGCGGGGTGTGAGTGGTCTCTTTACATGCTTCCTTACCTGGTGGAGAAAGTACGGAGAAAGCCGGTCCACCTTCTGTCTGTATGCTCACTCGTCGCTGTCCTGGATTATTGAGTCCAATGATTGTGGATTGTATACTGAGGGTTCTCTTTCATTATATACTAGTATTTTTATTTTTTTCGTTATATAGGCTACTAATACTTCCACTTATATCAATTTAAGTCACTACTTGTTCATTTAATATAGTACTTTTTCCTTTACTACAAGTATCCAAATAGGGACATGCAACAATCGTTACTGGTAATACATTACAACTCTATGGGGATACTGTAAATAGGTAGGCCCTAGTGGTTTTTAAATTATGACAAGAAATACTAGTCATTGAAATTGATACTAGTAACTGTTTATTACTAAATTAAATAAAAATACATGCAATTTGTTAAGATTAAAAATAGTTACTTGTCACTATTGGATGGTTAGTAGCAAAGCAAATGTATGGTAGTGACAAATTTAATTTATATAGACAATGTTTGAAATAGGTACTATAAGCTGTCTAGAATACTTAAAGCGATAGTTCACCCAAAAATTACATTTCTGTCACCATCCTGTCGTTCTAAACCCATAGGACTTTCCTTTATCAAAAACAAATGCAGACATTTCTTGCTTGACGTGTGAGAACAAACCTCACTTGTGTTTGAGCTTCCACTGACCATATTTAATGTGCCATTGATCAGTGTTTATGTGTGAATAAAAGCCTAAATTAAAAATAATAACAAAAGTCTTAGTCTTATGAGTTTGAAAAGTAAATGCTAACAAATTTTTTCATTTTTGGGTGGATTAACCCTTTATTTCTGATTGGTCAGCCAGGGAATCCAGCTGTCTGATATTGTCTAATATTCCCCGTTTTCCGTGGAAAAGCTTTACCACAGCGCTCATCTGGGAAACTGAAACATTCATTTGAAGTCGACATGAAATGGAAATTGCGGAAAGTGTCTTCCCTATAGAGTGGTGCAGGTATGACATCACTTTGTAGGCCAAAACGCGGAAGTGAGTTATCATTTTAGGATTTCCGGTTCCATCGTCCCAAAGTCAATGGGTGTTTGCTTAAATGGCTGAAATAAGCTCTGCAGTGAACACAAGCTCAAGATACTTTCATATTTTATTCTGCCATATAAAATACATCAGTATCATTACCCCACTGATGATTTTTTGAAGCTTTAAGGTGTCTTGAAAAAGGCGGTTGCTAAGTGGCAAAAAATGGGACTAAGAGGCTGTTGAGGAGACTAAAGGTCATCACGCCGAACAGGTAAGCTTTTACAGCAGCATTGTTATGCTTGTAATTGTGCTCTTATAAACTATTCTAACTCAAACTGAACTCTTTCTGAAATAGCTGTCCGAAGCTTAGTGATGGTGACTTTGAATTCGTGGGACTGTGGTGTGGTTCGTTTCATAGCCTACCTTTAGCTTTTTGCTTCTGGCAACTGTATTTAGGCTTCAAAATGCATAAAAGTTGTGTTCATCTTGTGATAATTACCTTGATGGACAAAATGGACGAGTATCATAAACTTTTGTTGATCACAGAGCTTGTTTTTAACGATAATCCAAAGGCCTATGGGGAAATCCTATTGGGTTTTTGTTGAGGGAACCAGTGTGATGCTAACTGCTGATTGGCCTACAAAGTGACGTCATACCTGCACCACTCTATGTGATGTGTATAAGGCCCTGTCCCGAATGGCAACCTAAACACTTGCGGTCTTCCTCTGAGTCTGCACTTTTGTGACGTAACGCCACTTTGACTGTCAGGAAGAAGTCTGCTGCAGAGCTCGCATCAGTGTGTGGTGGCAAAAGTGCACATATTGACCGCAAAGGGGGTGCTCGCGAGCACCCTTCTGTAACCTAAAATGACAAATGGGACACCCTACGGTCTCATGGACTTAACGGACACACGCACATGGCAGCCATTGTAAGTCCACAAGACCAAAAGTGCATATGAAGTGTGCCATTTGGGACAGGGCCTATGTGACTGTGAAATGGCTTCTTGACTTGAACAAGAAAAATGTTGGCAGGGACTTAATTTTGTCCATAGGGAATTGATTAGATCATTGGATGGTGCTATTGCTGCAATCTCGTGACTGACATGTAATGTGGCTGATGGTCACATGACCGCCTTTGCGCCAGTAAACAGGCTTCATGCAGCACTACACAGACCAATGGGCGACTGACTTGAAACAGTGCATGCAGTTTGTAAATGTTGTCTGACTTGAGGCAGCAGCGCGGCATCAAAGTACTGTGAGAGCGATTCAAAAGCAGATGGCTGACTCAGCCAGCGCTAGGGATGGGAATCGAAAACCGGTTCCACTCGAGAACCGGTTCTAAATTTTACGATCCATCGATATTGTATGCCCTCGACGTTAACGAGTCCTCTTATCGATGCTCCTGCTCTGTCCCTTTTGTCCTTTATCAAGCACCATAGCACCGCGTCCAAAGCTAATCTTTGTCCTGCAAAGTCTTATTTGATCAGTGAGTAAAATTGTCTCTCTCTGGTAATGTAGATGAACCGCTGCGCTTGTGACAGGGCGCATGTTAAACTGATCGAGCAGAGAGAGAGAGAGAGAGAGAGCGAGAGAGAGCCCCGGTCGCGCGCACGCACTCTCTCTCTTCGGAGCAAGGCGAAAGTAGGCTTCACCGTCTCAAAACTAAGCGCTGTCTTCCTCTCTCCCTCGCACATATTAATCAAAATAAACGACACGATGGTAAGGTAGGGAGACTAAAGTTTTTTGTGGAGCATTCGGAGATTTGTTTTTCCTGAATTGCCGCTGGGTGTGAATTGTGCTAAAATACGTTGCCTTATCTTCTCTGAAAAGTGTTCCGCACATTCAGCTGACATAATCACACTTCAAATAAACGAAAAAAAACGATCCAGTGATGAAATGTTTTCTGTGATGACACACATCTTGTGGGATGTCCCAACTGCCGGGATAATCACACAACGAGCACACGTCCGATAATGACACGTCCAATTCGCGAACTAATTACTCATTTGAACCGATTCGTTTTAATGAATGGTTAAAACAACTGATCTTTCCAACACTGAACTCACGGGGCGTTTAATCGGTGTATAACTAATCGGTAACACTTTACAATAAGGTTCCATTTATTACATAAAAAGTACAGTTTGCTTAGTCAAGTGTAAGCTTTAAAACAAATAAAACAACTTGTTTTTTCCCCCGAAAAAGACTACTTTTTCCCTCACAGTGCTATCAGGAATCGATAAGAGAGTCGTTAAAGAATTGGATCGATAAGCAGAATCGTTAGTGGCATTGATATTGATAAAATCTTATCAATTCCCATCCCTAGCCAGCGCAGTTTCTCGAGAGCAGCTGCACAAGCTCTGATGACGACACAGCTGTTCCATGATTGGCCGAATTCACTGCATGACAATAATTAAGTGTGTTACTGTGTTTATTCTGACAACTTCAGTTCCACTAATGCTCACAAATCTGCATTTTTACAACAGTAAAAGCTCTTTTCCTGTAGTCGCGATGTTATTATTGTGTCATGTTTATCAAAACTGATAAAACCGGACCACACTTCATTGGTATTTAAATAGTAGGCCTGCAATAGGCATATGAACTTTATTCATGTACAAACAGACAGTTTGAAGTATAGAATGAAAATGTACATTTATTTACTTCAGCTGTGATAAAACAGCGAGTCACTACAGGAACCAGAAAGTGTCCGACTTCACGTCTCCGTTTTCAGCTCCTCTCCGCCGATCGGTTACGTCCAGCCGCAGCTTAAAATAATGATGTGCAAGGATAAATCATTTGTAATGAAAAGTGGAATTTACCATATAAATATAAGAGTGACCCATTTCAATTGGTAACTTTAATTTATTTATCACCTGCGATGATGAATGCACTTATCTTTTATGTGTCTATTGAATCATTTATTTAACGGTAATCAAAACAACATAAAAATAGACTGTAGACCTATTAAATGGTAGCCTATGTGAGCATGTTTGTAAACAGTGGCGTTGTTCCCCCACAACCAGTAGGGTTAACTCCCAAACAGCCAGTATTTCAAGTGAGAGTAGGAAATCCTCACGAGACCCTGCCATGCATACTTGCATAATTTTCTTTTCACGTGTAAGGGGGAGTGGAAACTGAGGTAAGTACAGCTCGCACGCTTAAACAAGTTGAAGTACCGTGGCCGTGACGTTACCGGCCGCAGCTGCAAACTTGTTCAATGGTGGAAGCCGCAGCATGATGAACATGCTGCACCAACCCAATTAAATTAATGTACAGAAGAGTTTCAGACGTCAGGACCAGTTCATGTGATTGCAGAAGAGTTGAATGGGGACCGTTTGGACCGTGTCTGCGGTTGTTCTATGAAATGGTAAGTGCCTCAATTTCCCCACTTAAGAAGTTTTTCCAAACATCTGGTTTCAACACGCGAATGATGTTGCAGTTGTGAACTTATATTCAGCTGTTCAAAGAAAAACTAAATATTAATCTTTTTCTCAGTTTTCTTTCATTATTATTATTATTATTATTATTATTATTATTAATTTTTTATCATTTGTTGTATTCTTTTAAAGACAAACGATTATTTAGCTAAATGTTAACAAATGTCAAGAATAAACCTCTAAAAAATAGTAATAATATGTTGTGTGCCAGATGCAATGTATTTGCAACTACTTTTAGATTTTCAAAAAAAAAAAAAAAAAAAAATCTCACACTAAACCCTCTAAGGTTTAACCTATTTGATAATTAGGCAAATGTATAACAAATGTTCTTTAAAACTTGCAGGGGCAAAATTAAATGAAATTATAATAATAAAATTAATGCAAATTTAAAAAACAAAACAAAAAATAAAATGCTCTCCAGTGACTCCCATATTGGTTGTTTTTTCCACCTCTCTTGTAGACAACTTCTGAAGGGAACCACTTTAAATCCACCAATGCGGTTCTTTGCAAGTCCTAGCATGTGACTTGACTTGTATGTCAAAGATCAGATTTGAGACACAGTCAGGCACATATAATTAGCAAAATACTGACAAGGCATACTTTGACTAGAGGGAGAAGAGGAGTGTATACGCCCAGAAAGCATCAGTTGTCACAATTAGACAAGCCTAATTTCAAAGAAATCTATTGAGCTGACGTGTGTTTTTCATGCTGCAGTGAAACAATGTGGAATTGGGACTGTTCCCACTTCCCACAGTCAGTTGATATCTAGACTAGAAGACTCATAAACTACAAGTTCAGTTGCATAATAAGGGAAAACAACTGGAATCATCTTATCCTGACAGTGTTGTGTATGACAAAGCACATTGCACATGACACAATTGATTGTTTTTAGCTCTTAATGGCTTGTTTGCATCAAATTTTCCACACCGGTGTCACTGATTTTAATAGATTAAAAGTAAGTAGTGTCAACATCTATTTTTTTTTTCAGACACCAAAAACATGTGGATTCCACACGTACCTAATTTGGGCCGGATCTGGGCGAATTCTATATTGCTGTCTGGGAAAGAGCTAGGCCTATGTCAAAATGATTTAAAAATCATTTTAAAAAAATAGATCAGCTTTTCAATTGGGCCAAAAGAGTCTGAAGGGTCAGGAAGACAAACTGCAAGGTCTCAAGTTAAGATGGCAACCCATCAGTTAGAATGGGCTCAGAAACACTCATGAATGCAGTCATGCAAAATTTAACTTTTCTCTGTGAATCATTTGTAAGACCAAAAAGCAGCCCCAAACCTGGAAGATGTCAAATTTTATGCGTATTTACAGAAGACGTGCATCACCCATCGTGCCTGTTAATCATTTTAGCTGAGCTTGTTACTTATTCCTGCCTGTTTTGCTGTGTGTGTCATCTTGCGCTCAGCGGACTCACTGACCGGGCCTCACATCTGCAGAAGGAATTCCATGACCAGTGAGTGTGGCGGCAGAGAGGTGCAGCGTGTGTTTGGGACTGGGAGTTTTGGAGTTTGAAGGAAATAAAAGTGGTGGGAAGGACAGACTCCATGGCTCAGGAAAGGAAGAAAGGTGGGGTCCTTCCTCCGGATGGAGGGTGGGGATGGATGATCGTGGCTGGCTGCTTTGTGGTAACTGTTTGCACAAGAGCTGTTACGAGGTAAGGTTTTTTTTTTTGGAGAGTGTATTTAGACTTTTTCTAAATAGAACTAGAACATGTTGATATAGGGATAGGTGTTTTGTTTTCAGCTATAATTAAACCACAGGTTTTAACCTGCCCGGTTTCTTAATAAAAATTAATTGCTGAAGAATATTGTTGCTCTTAAACTTTCTTTTTTTAGTGACCAAAAATTTCTATTGAATTTAAATCTAAGAAATAAACAACCTAATAATGCAAATATAAAGGAAACATACAATAAGAACAAACAGTCTCGTAAACCTTCTGTCCCTAATAATGTCTGGATTTGTTCCTCAAATGGGTTTAACCTGTCAAATAGTACATACTCTTGTATAGTACAGTACATGTGGCACAACAAAACGCTATATTTAGTTCACACTGAGAATTGCCTAGAATGAGTCATTGGTTCACAAAGTGACAAGCGCTATCTGGTGTTTCTGCTGCAGCCTTCGAGGTCAGGTTACATTTGACTGACTTGTAAACAACTTTCAGGCGTTCGCACTTGGATATAGATAACACAGTGTTGTTTTAACATCTATTAGCCTCTTAGAAGTGTTTTTTACTGCTTTGACTGGTTATGTTAACACATTTGTGTGTTTATTTTGTAATGTGCTGTTGTAAGTGTCATTTGTTGCTACAATCGAAGTTTTTTCTATATACAGTACTATGTGGCGAGAGGTAAAGTTTTCCTTTTACACTGCTTTAGACAAGCTGTTCCATTTAGCAGTATTTTGACATTACCCCTGGGGTGGTGAATGTATTCTGCCGACTATGCTGTTTAAACCCTGTAATTATTTCATCATTAAATTTAAATGTGCAGGTACATCATCTGACATATAAAGGTGTGAAACACGAGAACCTGAAGAACAGGTCTGCAAAGCTGCTTGACGTTTACTAGGATGAAATTGCAAACAGGCTGGCAAGAACGAAACAGTTCATTCGACCTCACCTCTGAAACAAGCATTCTTTTGACCATTTCTTAAGTCCTGCTGAGATAAGTGGTAATAATCAACCCGAGGATTACCAGATGATGAAACTCTTTTTGAGCTTAAAGTGCATCCAGTGGTTTTCAGATGGAAAATGTGCCTTTTTAACCTCTTTTTTATCTTATGGATATTCTGTTCTCTGCCCTCAACCCCTTAAAAAGCTCTTATCATTCAAGTATGTGTGTGTTATTCAAGTCCTAAAGTAAGATTTTACCCTTTAAGTCTGCACCTTGGCTAAGCCAATGGTTGCCTGAAGGACATCTCCTTCTTTAATGGCCGATGGCCAGACACGTCTGTCTCAGTGGCGGAAGACGTGAGAGTTGCTGGCTGTCATAACCACACTGAATGCTCTGACCCGAGTGACCTGCCTGGTGATCTAGTTTTGTTTGTTCAGGTGCTGAACAGGCACTGCAGAGGCTTGTGCCTCATTACCCCGTCTCAGCCTTTCATATCCAGACACCCACGATCTGCGCGGCTGTTCATAGTAACTGGCTGTGAATGGCACTGGACTTTAATGTGTGTTGTTAGTCTGAAGTGTCACAATATGGTCCTTTAAAGACCACAAACTTGTTTGTGTTCTGTCTGATCAGAGTTGTTTTGTCTTTTTCTCTTTTCCAGATGCATCTCTATATTCTTTGTTGAGTTTCAGATGCACTTTGGAAGAGATTACTCTGGGACGGCATGGATTCATTCATTAGTGGACTGCACAACCATGCTGTGTGGTAAGGAAACGTCATACTTGACACTAAAACCATCACACATTAGCGCATCCCAATCATCATCATTGGCCGGTCTAAAATAGGGTTTCCATCTGCAGAACTCAGTGAGAAAGTTTTTGCACATCTGAGACAATACTGTTGCATAAGAAACTAAGCAAGACCTGCAGCCTGTGGGAGGCTCAAAACGTTCTCTTGAAGTCAGCAACACACAGCGAACATCTTGAGAGGACACACCAGTGTCGCAAGCTTGACCCAAAAAAACAGGCCTGTTTGCTTTCCTATACACCCGGCGCTGTCTGCTGTTGACAGTGCAACAATCTTAAGAATTACATTGCAAAGGAAAGGCCTTCTTAAAGCTGTTGTAGTAAACAAAAGACGTAAGAAATGCTGTTATTACATAAAGCTTTCCAATTTCATGTTTGGCTGACATGTTCTCTTTTATCACAAGGCTGATTTGTTTTGTCAGGGCCCAGGGTCTGTGGAAGCACATAGTTTGCAAATCATATACAGTATGTTGTAATACTGTATGTTGTCATGTAATAGGAGAGAGCGGCTTAATAATAGCGGTACTAGTGACCAATTATCTGATCGAACTTTGTAATATTTCTAAATTTGTTAAAAAAACACTACTGTTCAAAAGTTTGAGGTTTCAGTAGCAATTATTCCAGTATTCATTGTCACACGATCCTTCAGAATTTATTATAATATGCTGTTTTTGTGCTCAAGAAACATTTCTTATTATAAGCAATGTCGAAGACAGTGGTGGTGCTTAATATTTTTGTGGAAACCATGATACTTTGTTTCAGAATTTTTTGATGAATAGAAGTTCAAAACAACAGCATTTTTTGTATGAATAAGTCTCTTTACTTTTGAACAATTTAATGCATCCTTGAAACTTCCCCAGCTCAAATGTTTGATTTTGTCAATATTTTTTTCTGTAGAAAGACAAACATTAATAGTGATGAAAGCCAAAATATTAAATGTCCTGGATGTATATTTACTGAGTAATCCACTATTTTGTAGAGGGGGTAAAAATGACAATTTTCACCTGAGATTTGGAGCCAAATTACAGTAGTGTATAAATGACTTTAGAAAGATGGAAGCATCATTATTTTATTTTTTACACAGAGATTGCTAGGTCTATTAGTAAAATCTGTTGACTTTAGCAATCTTTTTTTGCATTATATGCCAACTGTGACAGTAAAAAAAACACACTTGTGTTTTTTGCCTCAAGTCTGCATGCCTGTAACTCAAGAAGTATTAAAGATATCTTAATATCCTTTTAGATTCTGGTTCTTAACAAACTTTCCTTTTGGTATCTTCATTTTAAAGGCCCTCGATGGTTCAATCCCAGAGATATGAAGATCTTAATGTGGCTCCATGAGTAAATTGTACAAATTTTCAGTGGTCAAAAACCAAGCTTGTCACTTTGCACACAGCTGATTCTTTTTTTCTTTTAAACCGATTGTTCTGGTAGAGGGAAACAAGATTAATTTCTAGTTTAAACATTATTTTTTCTTCAGACATTCCTCTTTAAAGGTGAACTAAGTAACTTTTTTACCTTAACCGAACAGCTTTGGAGTCATTGTAATGTTTATATTACTGATTTTGTGTTGAATGGTGGTCGTCTCGCACCCCCCTGGTGCCTGTGAGCCGCAAAACCACCCTTGCAACTTTGGGCCGGCGAGCCGCCGGCCTCAGTGTTAGGAAGTATCGTGTGATATCAGGTTTCGCGAGGTAACGAATTGCTTTACGGCAAAAAACAGATCTGATAAAATTCTGATAAAATGAGCATCAAACAGAAATAACCCAGCGCCGTATACATGTGGTGTTCGAGGCGCAGGGCGCGCGCAGCTCTTAAAGGGGCCATACCTTATTTCCACTCGTTACAGCGTCCATCCTACTGTACAGGTACCGGTGTACAGGGGGAGGGGATCCGGCCGTGAGTGCGAGCCATCTCTGCGTGAGTGCTATTCACGACAGTACAAGTACTCCACAGCGACTCTAGGGGTCGCTGTTTGACAAAAACGGAAATCAGCTGTGTGCAAAGTGAACCACATTTGGTTTTTGATCACTGAAAATGGGTAAAATTCAGCAATTTGAACATGGAGCTGCTTTGAGATCCACATATCGATGGGACTGAACTATATATATAGGGCCTTGAAAATGAACATTTCAAAAGGATAGTTTATTAAGAATTAGAATCTAAAGGATATTAAGAAATCTTTAATACTTTTAGAGTTACAGGCATGACAACTTTGGAAAAAGAATATCTATGGCATTCAGACAGGTATGTTCTATGCAATTGAGCTGATGAAAAAATGTTGACACAATTATAATTTTATCATTATTTGCTCTTTAGATATTCCTCTTTAAAAGAAAAAAAGTATCAGCTTTATGCAAAGTGACCCATGTTTGGTTTTTGACCACTGAAAATGTGTACAATTTACAAATTTACTCTCATGGAGCCACATTAACATGTTAATATCTCTGGGATTGAACCATCGAGGGCCTTTAAAGTGAAGTTACCAAAAGGAAAGTTTTTAAAGAACCAGAATCTAAAAGGATATTAATATCTTTAATACTTCTTGAGTCACAGGCATGCAAACTTGAGACAGAAAACACAAGAAGTGCTTTTTGTCATTTTTTAACTGTCACTGTTGACATACAGTTTAATGCAACAAAGATTGCTAAAGTCAACAGATTTTACTAATAGACCTGTCAATCTCTGTGTAAAAAAATAAAATAATGATGCTGCCATCTTTCTAAAGTCATTTTACACCCCTGTAATTTGGCTCCAAATCTCAGGTGAAAATTGTCATTTTGACCCCCCTCTACAAAATAGTGTATTACTCAGTAAATATACATTCATGACATTTAATATGTTGGCTTTCTTCTTCATTTATATATTTCTTTTACCAGACAAAAAATGATCAAAATCAAAAATTTGAGCCGGGGACCTCTGGTTGAGTTGACACGGAATGACACAGTAATGTTTACAAAGTAGTGTATGTGGATGCAAACCCGGCTTACCGTAAATATTATTTAAATATGACTTTTATTATTTAGAACATATTTTTCAATATGAGCACAACATTTATTCACATTACTTTGCAGCTCCACTCGGAAGCCTGATTGGGAATCAGTTGTCATGCCGTGTAGCTGTAATAGTAGGAGGATTCCTGGCCTCAGTAGGACTAGTCCTCAGCTCCTTCGCCACCAGTCTGGAATATCTTTACCTTACCCTGGGAGTGGTAACTGGTAAGAGCCACAAGATCCCTAAAACACTGATCTACAGACCCATGCGCGGCACTTAGTGTGTAGCAAGTTCAACATGTTTACCGTTTTAATTTATATCCTTCTTTTTTTAGGGCTTGGCTTTGCCCTTTGCTATACTCCAGCCATTGCCATGGTCGGGATCTATTTCTGTGAGAGAAAGGCTTTGGCCTATGGCATTGCCATGTCTGGCAGTGGCATCGGGACCTTCATCCTGGCCCCAGTAGTGCAGCTGCTAATCGAACACTATTCATGGCGTGGGGCCCTCCTCATTTTAGGGGGCTTTGTGTCTAACCTGTGTGTATGTGGAGCTCTGTTACGGCCCATCATTCTAAAGGAAGAGGAGGCCTGTCCTCTTCCAGTGGACTCAGAGTGTGGGTATAGCATTAAGTCGCCTGCGGTAAATGGCGTACATACGGGGAATGCTGCAGGCGATAAATTAGAAGTGAATGCTAAGCAACGCTTCCTTCAGTCCATGCAAGAATACCACTTCCTGCTCATGCCTGACTTCATGGTGTTGTCAGGCTCCTTCCTGCTGCTGGCCAGTGGGTGCAGTCTTCCATTCGTGTACCTAGTGCCCTACGCACTGGATGTAGGTGTCGGTCATCAGCATGCTGCGTTCCTGATGTCCATACTAGGGGTTATTGACATTGTTGGCAACATCACATTTGGCTGGCTCACTGACATTAGGTATGTTGTTTTGTGTTAATATTGCATTAGTCAAAAACAGGAATAGGTAATTTATTGACTAAGGCAAATGTTTTTTTTTTGGTTTTTTTCAGATCTAATTATCTGTTTTTTTCTAATAACCGATTTTGTTATCCAATAAGCAACTGTGTCATTGACATGACACAATTTTGTTTTTTGTTTTTTTAGATCTCAATACATTGACATTAATACACCTATTCTAAGATTAATTAAATCATTGGGGGGCATAAGCCTAGTAGTTTAGCATCATCGTTTATGATTATTTATTTAAAAAAAAGTTTTAACATAAAAGCTTAACTTCTTTTTTATATTTGAAAAACGTCGAATTGCCTCATCAAAGTCATGTGGTACGACCAAGCAGAAATAAATACAAAAAAGGAAATTATGTCATAGAGAAGATCCCTGCAGACCCTCATGATTATCTAAATAAGTCTCTTAAAATATCAGGTTGTAAAATGTCATGTTGTGTGACTCCCCAAAAACTTATTATAAATATTATAAATATCAGGCAGAGAGAGAATGGAATTATTAATAAAAAGAGCATATTTGTAAAAAAAAAAAAAAAAAAATTACCTTAAAAAAATACTTTAAAAAGTTGAATAATAATGTTTAAGATGTGTATACATGTTATTCAAGGTATAGGGAAAATATGGTGACATTTTTGACATTCATTAAATTGAATTTTTAAATGGTGTAAAAAGTTTTCTAAAACATGAAACGACCATGAATAGTACATTTCTAATAACTTGGAACACATGTTTTTAGATTTTAAAAGATTTGTCCTTTTCTTTATCATTGACCCAGCTGTCCGTTTAGAAAGAGGGTGTACATGTCATGGTTTTTCGCCAGATGAGTTATTTGAAGAGGTCAAAAAGCAACAACAAAAAACACCCTCAGGTTTTAGGAAACCAAACAGAATGTTGATTGTTTGCTTATGGGGATGGTTGCATAAACCTCTAAGACTAGTTTTACAAGTTAGACATCAAAGTTTTTTCTTTAACACTGTTCATATTTTTTTTAAATCAGTAACATAAAAACATAACGTCTTAACATAATGGCTATGTTTATGCAACCGGCCCCAGATCATGCTGACTAACCCTTTCTGTATCTCTCCCAGGTGTCTAAAGAAGTACAGGAATATATGCTACATGTTTGCTGTGGGAATGGAGGGACTATGTTGTCTTTTTATCCCCCTTTTACGCACATTTGTCTTGCTGGTACCCTTCTCTGTGCTCTATGGGTACTTTGATGGAGCCTATGTTGCCCTAATTCCTGTGGTAACATCAGATGTTGTAGGGACAGCATACCTCTCTTCAGCTCTCGGGGTTGTGTACTTCCTCCACGCTCTTCCCTATCTGGTCAGCCCACCCATTGGAGGTAAAGGCCTCAAATTATTTTATTTTGATAGGTTAATAACTATCTGGAATGTTAAAGAAAAAAAACATTAACCATAATTGTCGCTTTGTAATGACGTGCCCAATTAAAAGCCCAATAAGTGGTAAACTGTTAATGTACAGAGACATGTTACCCAACCAAACTGTAGGATACATGCTACTTTCAAAAAGCTGTCAGGTAATCATGTGATTTTTTGTTGTTGTTGTATAGGTTGGTTGGTTGACACCACAGGGACTTACACGGCGACATTCTTTTTGAGTGGGTTCGCCCTGATCGCAAGCTCTCTCCTGCTGTTCTCAGTTGCCGTCATTCGGCATTGCCGGAGAAACCGAAAGAACAGCCTGAGCAAAGACCCAAAATTGGTGTCATGCGAAGGCAAACAAGTGGACTATTATAGTTCTAAAAATAAAGACTTGATGACAATTATACCAGCAACTTTATAGCGTTGGAATAACAATTTTTTTAATGTTATTTTTTTTTAAATGTCTATTTCTTTGTTTAATCAATTTTATGAAATACTGTTAGATATCAATGAAATGAAATTTTATGAAATACTATTAGACTCTATTAATGTATAGAGTCATTAATAATGTTTAATTGAGAAAAGAATTGTTTGTGTATAAAAGTTTTCTCATGCCTTTTGTTGACTTATTGTTCAAAAGCATTTATTCTCATCTACAGTTGCAAGCTTTAAAGAAAGTGGGTTACAACACAAGACTTACATTTTATTTATTTTATTTATGTCTCATATTTTATAATAATGTGTCAGTATTCAGTGAGTTTTTCTTGTGTATATTTTTTTTCTGTGGACATAGAATTACAAATGTAGGTTATTATACTTGAAGCTCCAGTTGCAGTACGTTATTTAAGTCAGTAGAGGACAGTGCTGAACCCTAGATATCTGGACAGTCTGAGCTGCTGTATAATTCAGATATCAAGGGTAGTACATTTGTATGAAGGACTAAAAATGACATAAGGAAAAATAAATAAATAAATAAAAGTAGAAATAAATAAATAAATGCAGAAATATAGTAAAAAATAAATACATTTTGGTCATATGGCTATTTCTGTATTTTTACATGTATTTATTTATTTATGCATTTCTATATGTATTTATTTATGTATTTCTACATTTATGTATTTATATATTTATTTCTACATTTATTTATTTCTGTATTTCCACATTTCTACATTTATTTATTTCTGTATTTCTACATTTATTTATTTCTGTATTTCCACATTTCTACATTTATTTTTCCCTCCGCCTGTATGCTAATTAAGTGGGGGGTGCCAACATCAGTCTGAAGCAGGATTGGTTAGAGAGATGTGATCGAATCTACTACTACTGCCTTGATTTCACTGGTACAAGGAAGACTACTCGCCTCGGTGCTTGGGTTAATATAAGCTGTTAATAGAACATACAGGATGAGAGACTGAGGACAGAGATAATTAACCCTTTCTACATGTTTACCTTACACACAGGTGTACTGATAATTATAAAGTATTGTATTTTTACTCGCGAAGGTTTTATTGCACATAAGGAGCGTAGCTGTCGGCAAATTGAGTAGTTTGGAGCTAACTGAACTTCCCCGTCTCCACAGCGACGAACCGGCGTCTGCGTCTCTGCAGGGCGCTGTGTGCGCGACAGAATGGAGGGGAAGCTGCAGCCTGTTAATAACAGTCCCGAGCCCGTTTAATACCGCGTTTCGGTGCCATCATTAGAAACAGTAGCAGTATCCGATAAGCTCGGACCTTATTGATTTTAGAGAAAGTTTGGGTGCTTTCAGAACCGGGTCTCGATCCCCATCCTTAATAAAAAACTATACTGAGTAACAAAAGAACGATGGTCTACACATCATTAGTTGACAGTGTATGGTTTAATTTCTCTAACATTATATTCAATGCACAAATTCTTCCGTGTGGGTGCATTAAAGTCTGAAATTAAGCAAAATGTTCTTGGATCCGCTGATGGATGTCACCATATATTAAGAAGATGTCAATCAGTAGAACAGGTGTTGTGCCTAATTTCGACCCCCTGCGAAATTATTAATACAGAAATAAATAAATGTAGAAATGTGGAAATACAGAAATAAATAAATGTGGAAATACAGAAATAAATAAATGTAGAAATAAATAAATATATAAATACATAAATGTATAAATAAATGTATAAATACATAAATAAATACATATAGAAATGCATAAATAAATACATGTAAAAATACAAAAAAATAGCCATTTATATTACCAAAATGTATTTATTTTCACTATATTTCTGCATTTATTTATTTATTTCTACTTTTATTTATTTATTTTTCCTTATGTCATTTTTAGTCCTTCATACATTTGCCCTTGTTCTGCAAATGGTTTGTAAAGGTCTGATATTTGTATTCAGCAATGCCTTTTTTATGATCATGAGTTTGCTACAACTAAGCAGTTCTTCAACGTTTCTTTGGAAAGTGATTCGAGTTTCTTGAGACTAATGAGTTTCTTGAGACTTATGCAAGAGACTGAAGATATAATGGATGCTACTGAGGCATGGGACTAATATATAACCTTTAGAACTTGATGTCAACAGTCTGAACTAAATGTAATGTTTTAGTAATAGTGAATTTCATTGGGTTAAAAAAAATAGACTATATAAAACATGAAAAAATATATTGGTAATGTTCCATTTTTAATTTTCAAGAGTATAAAGTGTGGCTTGCATCATCTCACAATTCTGCAAGTTTAAGTGATATTAGTTACTGGTAAAAACAATTTTCTTAACACACAATGCACACAAAAAGCAGTGTTTTTATTTGTCAAAGATATACAGGTTTAAAAATGTATAGCTATAATGTCTGTCACGGGTCTTAGAATCCAAAGATACTTGAAACAGGATATCTTGCAAAATAGTCCTAATAGCAAACTCGAATACTCAGGAAGGGAGCCAGTAACATAAACACAACTAACATTGACAATGACCGATATTGAACTGAACCAAACAGGAATTATTTATACACCAGGGAAATTAGCTAATTAAATGACAACAGGTGAATGAAACGACTATTAAACGAACTGGGAAATTAGGTCAAGACAGACAAACTGAGAACAAAGAGAACTCATGACAACCAACTGAAAGTCCATAAACATAGTCGGTGGGGTTTCTTTGTCCATCATTCTTAGAAGAGAAGGTTCTGCATAGAAGCTGACGAAACACATAAAACACAATTTTATCCATTTATCCATATTCAACAGCTCGTAAACATACCACTAGAAAAATTTAAATAGCCCATTAAACATGAAAAATTATGCAATCGTTTAAGACATTTCTCCTTCTTGGATAAAGGGCTCTTTAAAATTGAGTCTAGAACCCTAGGGTTCTATATAGAACCAAATGTATTAAGACCACCTTCAATTAATTTAACAATAAAAGAGATTCTCCATTTTTAACAAAGATCTGGCGACACGTTTTTTAATATTTTATAACATTCTGTTCAGTAAGACAACCGACTTAACAGTCTTCCCCACAGATGCACATATTCTACCATTCTAACAACTGAGTAAATTAAACAGATCTGTAAAGAAAAAAGTAAAAAATCAGAGGTAACTAACCACTATCGTCACTTGTTATTGAGTCTCCTTCACTCTGCACAATCTGTGTACGAACGTTTTGTTTTTAAATCACTAATTATATAATACACAAAGATTACTGAGGAATTCATGATTTTCATCATTGGCTGAAGTCTCTGCATAACTCTCCGTGTCAAGGAACATCTTTCCCTTTTCTTTATAAATAAAATCCTTGTTTGCCTTGTTTGCCTTCCAATCATCTAGTTTACCCTTGATATGTTTCTGGGCACTTTTCATAAGTTTCCACGTTCTTATAGTTCCCTTTGTCAAACACTCCTTGGTGCATGATAGCTAAATCCTCACATCTGATACAGTACTGCTGGAACTAAGCATAGGTTAAATACTATCTGCAGATGTTTAATTATCTCTGTAGCTGTCTGAAATGTGTCAAACAGTTTCTCAGCCCTGAGCAGATCATGTCTCTCTCCATACTGAAGTGCGAGCTCACTCATGGCAAGTAATTAGGGAAGCATCTATTTGTAGCATCTATCAACCAACTTCTCAGACTCATTCATCAACTTCTTGGAACATAACAAAAGTGTAAGTGTCACAGGTCGGGGTGGGCACCAGATGACCGGTCACACCCCTAACTTGCACCCCACCATGAGGAGCCGACACCACAGGTACACAACAGACAGACAGAAAACCGTGGAGTACAGTATAAAGTTCTTTATTAATTTAAAACTCTGATTGTAGAACAACTCTCCGTGGGCAAGTTCCTTCGTGTCAACCGGAAGGATGGCCAAAATAGCCGTATTCCTCGGGACTCAGGCAGAAAGAGAATGGAGGTAGGTTGCTCACCAGCGTAACTGTTCGCTTCGGGGTTCAGGCAGAGAGAATGGAGGTAGGTTGCTCACCAGCGTAACTGTTCTCTTCAGGGCTCAGGCAGAGAGAGAATGGAGGTAGGTTGCTCACCAGCATAACTGTTCTCTTCGGGGTTCAGGCAGAGAGAATGGAGGTAGGTTGCTCACCAGCGTAACTGTTCTCTTCGGGGCTCAGGCAGAGAGAATGGAGGTAGGTTGCTCACCAGCATAACTGTTCTCTTCGGGGCTCAGGCAGAGAGAATGGAGGTAGGTTGCTCACCAGCGTAACTGTTCTCTTCGGGGTTCAGGCAGAGAGAATGGAGGTAAGTTGCTACCACCGCTGCTTCAGCAATGCATTCTCCACACTCGTGTTCACTACAATCCACACAGGGAAACACACGTGAATAAATACTATCAAATACTGTGAAACACTTCACTCACAAAGGTAAGGCTTCAGCGCGGCGTTTCATCCATCGCTCATCGAGATAATCCTGGTCGTGACAATGGGGAAATGTAAGCCACTCACTGCAACGACAACTTCCCTTAAGCAGTCAGCTTCACATCATAGGTTTTTGAAACAGTTACGAGAATCATCAATAATGTCATAATCTAACTCAGAATATCACTTATCTCTCTCTCCTTGATAGACCCCGCTCATGGCTTCCATTCGTCTGTCGTGTCGGCAACCCGGAACCAAACCCCTCGCTGAGCACCGACCTCACCGAGCAACAACGTCACCGAGCAACAACGTCCCCGAGCAACCTTAACTCCGAATATTCGTTCCGTCTTCTCAGCGACTAGTCACCCGGCCGTGACATAAGTCCAAGAAGAACTCTCAGAACATCATCATCTGGGTTGTCGTCAATGGCCAGTCTCAGTTGTTTGATCGCAGGCGAATCCCCAGTGCAAAATGTACCAGTTTCAGAATGATAAAGAGCATTGGCATAACCAGCGTTCCACTTGCTATTTTCTGGTTCCAGTTCCACAGCCTTCTGGAAAACTTCTACCGCTCCATCATAATATTTGTGAGAAAATTTAAAATAGGTCAATCTTTTCTCACCCAGCACCTCTGGAACAGATGAAGACTCGGTTGGAAATGGTTCATTAATCTTTTGAAACTTCATCAGGTAACTTTCACACTCTGAGTAGTCCTTCATGTGGTACAGTAGTTTATCCAGGCTAAATTTCCATAGGTGACAATAAGAGTCAAGGTTTTCTTTAATGAGTGTCTTAGATCTCAATAGGTGATACTGTTTTTTTTTTCTGACCATAAGACTGTTATTTTAAATACTAACTTTTCTTG